GGTAGTAGAGTAATTGATTTGCAGTCAGAGAGTATTGTTGAAGTTCGTTATAGCGTTTGTTTTAGCGCGAATGTTGGAATCAAGTGTATCGTAAAGTTATATTCAGAAAAAATAAACAAGTTTTATTAAGTAAGGACTTGTGTCGCTAAAGTTTCGTCGGAACGAAGTTACGGAAAGTTAATTAACAAACGGAGACGTAACATTATATTATTCCAGCAATAACTGCATTGAATTTGAGTTTAGAGAATGGTATGTAAAATATAAGAGATGATTAGAACACTTAATTTAAATTGTATTAAAGATTTTAAATAATTTGTTTGTCATTTATCGATGTAAAATGTATCATGTTAACCAAAAGATATCAACCGCCTATTTTATAAGTATACTGTCTTTCGTTTGTAACGTATATGCAAATATTACTATTTTTATCAACCCTGTACAGACGGAGTACTGAGAAAATGATTGCTTGTGTAAACCCTAATGATTTTGTTTATAATGGCTTTCTTACCCTAATTTATGCTCTGGCAACCATACATCGCAACAGTTAAACTTTAGATCAAGTGGTTGTTAAATTTTGCAGAGATCGATAAACATAAGCCTTGACGAGCGTGTGACGAATAACACAGAGATATTCTTACATTCCGGTACATCTATGCAAATTTTTCAATATCTTTGTCAAATGTTCAGTTATTTTACATGTCATTCAATCCATGAAAATTAAACGGACTTTTAAGACAAACTACTTTGAGAAATAACAAGATATTTTTACACTGTTTACTCTAGGGAATGAACCACGATTTTTAAAATTAAAAGCCGTCAAGATTACCGCTGAGCAACCAGGGGTAGAATTAATTATAACCTAATGTTGCGTCAGCGAGATCACGTGATTAGTATCACGCCACCCGTTTTCTAGAACTATCCTGTTCCTTCGGGAGTGCTCTAGCATTTGCTAGATTGGGGGGTGGTCTGGTATATATAAGATGGTCACGGCGTGACGTGACAATGTGTGTAGGTAGTGAGTAATTGAACTGCAGTCAGAGAGAGACGTATTGTTGAAGACGAGCTCGTGAGGCGTGAATTATAGTGTTGTTATAGAGCGACTGTTGAAAATAAGTGTATCGGTAAAGTTATATTCAGAAAGAATAAACCAGTTTTATTAAGAAAGGACTTGTGTCGCTAAAGTTTCGTGGGAACGAAGTTACGGAAAATCAACTAACGAACGGAGACGTAACACTAAGTTTAATGTTCGAGTATGCTTATTTAATTAAAATGTCCGTAATAGAAATGTTTAGAAAAAGGTTAGCTAATCGCTGATTCTAAGGGCATTAAAACTTCGTGTCGTCGTGCTGAAGTAGAATGTAACGGTGTTAAAAGTATTGAATCAGGTTTTGAATTTCCACTGAACGTTAGAGACTCGGTCTGACATTGTTGTTGAAAATAACAATACTGATTTATTGTTTCTATTTATACTAGCACTCGGTTGTGTTGAAGATGAATTAATTTAATGTGTTGTAGTGAAGACAAAATAAATTCAATAACTTCGACATTTTTGGAGATATATATTAATGAATAAGATTGTGATTATATAATTAAGTTTTACTGTAATGAAATTGAACAGACTGGAGCAATGTATGTGAATAAATGAACGAAACCCAAATTCAACCACTCAACCTGTCATTAATCCAAGTTATTTTCAAAATATAGGTTATATTTCAATAAAAATTAGATATTCAAATGTAGTTGCAATTTTACTCAACAGATGGCATACTAAGCCTTAGATCGTCAAAGGCTTTTTTTTTGCGTTTTTCTTTTAAAGCGTTTTTTTTTCACACACACTGGATTAGCTAAACACCAAAAAACATCAATAAAAAACGTTACGCAATTTTTATTTACCAGTTGAACATTTGATCAGGATTTTTGCGAGTTCTGGAATTAAAGGGGATTGAGGTGATCTTTAAAATAAAATAAAGTTGTGTTGTTAAGGCTCTTAGTTACAGTAATCAATACAGCATTAATACGAAGTGCATAAATGTTTATCAAGTGCTACTGTCAGTCGCTCTTAGTTTTTTGATGCACCTACTAACTTATACCAAGTCTGATATGAAACTGTTTGTTTGGTGTTAAGCACAAAGAACGATATTGGGCTACTGTACTCTGCCCATCGCGGGAATCGAAGCCTAATATTAACGTTACAAGCCCTCAGACATACTTCTGAGACAGAGGAGGGCCTGCTGGGAAACTATAAACTGTACTGATAATTAAAATAATTGTTAAACACGGACTGATCCATATATTTACGTAGGCTTAGTTCATCGGTACTCTGTATGATACCACGGGTACCAACATTTTGAAACAAAACTATAGGTACAAGCTTAGTGTACCCGTAACGCTGGTTGAGTGTCCGGAATGTCTCGTTTTCCATTTGTCTCCCCGCCCTCTTCATGCTGCCTGAAGTGTTTTTAAATTTAGAAAACGCACTGATGACGTTACTGTTACTTAGCTGGTAGTGTTTTATGACGAATGTTGGTAATATTTATTGTTACCTGGGACGTTTGAGCTGCTAGCTATTTCTTCGACAAAACAGGTTGGCTTCTGATTAAATTCAAGTGTAAAAATTCGAGTTGTAAGTGTAAATGTTTTTCCCCAAATCAACCAAGGCCCCGTATCAAGTACGTGTAGAACTTAGAATCCCACAAAAAATTCGCGAACTGAAGTTTTGTGCGGACTGTGTTTAGTCGACGACTTAATGACTGTTGTTAGATCGGGTAGATAAACTTAGATGTACGAACACACATAGCTTGGGAGAACTGGATATTATTGAAAATATAGACTAATTTTTTTGGAATCTATGCCCAAAATGTCATCTACGTACAAGTTTCCAGTGAGTGTTAACACGTTTTAAACTTATACTGTTAACAGATTGATTTTTTCTTGGTAAACTATATTTAAAACTACCGATTGTTCAGTTATTCGGAGCAAGTTTTTCGAACTTTTAATTTTACATCACTCAAATGTTAATTAAACGGTTTCGTGATTTATTATTTTGCTTTTGCAGTTTTTTTCATTATTTTTGGATTATGCCGAGAGAACAAATAATCATAAAGGAATAATAAGTAACTGATAAATTAACGTATTATTAAGGCAATCTAATAAATACAAATATTACTTTTAGTTTTATATCACCTAGTTTATTTAACATTTTAAGGCTTAAGTAGATCGTTAACTTGCTAACACTAATATTTATTTTTTATTCAATTTTGTGTTCCAATTCTATTGCTTATGCTTTAAAAAAACTTTATTGAATAGTTTAGACTAAATGATGTTGCCATTATTGGTAACTACTGATATTTAAATTGAATATGCCCTGTTACTGTAATTTATAAACTACCGTTTTATTTTAATACTAATGAGTTCATTAAAAAATATAAATACATTTGCTTAAGACTTAAGAAACACCAATATTTTTATAACAACTAAGATTCCTGTATTGTATTTGATTTAAAGTGTAGACCCAAAATTTTAAATTGATGTTAATTTACACATAATTGTTTTAAAATGGACAAGATGACGGAGAAGACAACATTACAACGAGGAATATATTAAATGCAAGTGAGCATGCTATGTTTGATTCGTCAAATTTAAAGTGTGTTCATAATTGATAATTACAGGCATACCATATGTTTGCTACCTCTTTGTGTTACTGTAAAAATTTGTAACAAATTTCATTTATTCAGTTGTATGTGTAGTTTTTCACATAACATGTTTATGAAGAAAGTTATTAAGTTTCTTTCACTCAAGCTATCGATTTTTCTGTGTCATTCACCTACGGTATCACCTTTTTCTTTTCATGAAAAACGTTTCTGCAAAATTACCCATACTGTGTGTGAAGGTAGACAGCGACCTTTTCCAATGGCAAGTCAGGTGATCTCTCAAGGTTATAACATCCCTTATGATTAATGTAAATGAACAACAGCGATGTGGGTAGCATAACTTGCCCTGGGAAAGTCTCACGTTATATATATATTATGTTTTCTCAAACTGGAACATATTTCTCAAGACCTTCACAATCTTTGAATTATGTGTAGTTTGCAATGACTGGTAGGATTATATATATTACCTATCATCTTATAGTACTGTTTTGTATACTAGAGCTGCCAGGACATGAATATTTGTTTGATCAGATTTAACTTCCACATTTGAAGTCTGTATTTGTAGTTGATAATCACATAATTTAGTTCACTATCTATTTAACATTTCATTATTCCAACTCTTGTTCTTCCGTCAGAAGCAAGGAATGAAAAGCCGAACACCCATAGATGTCAACATTTATGCCACCAGAAAGACCCTAGCTCAGGGTATGATGGACATAGCTTTGCTGACAGCCAATGCTTCTCAGCTGAAGTTGGTTCTCACTCAGCCAGATATTCACGAATATTTCCACATCACTGTTGTTCTTATTAGTACTTCAATTGTTCTGCAGGTAAGGAGAATTAAGTTAAAGATCTTCTACAGGATCCAGCTGGGTTATTTCTTTGTCTCTGATTCAGTATATCAGTAATGCCCCAGTTCTAAAGTTCAAACATATAAAGACATAACATTTAGCAGAAAAGTCCAATGACGAAAGTTGCCAGAACAATGAAACATACTTTTTTGCTTCGTAAAACAAGTTTAGAACAGGTGTAGAACAAGTTTTGATGTGAATTTTCAACAGTAGCTTTCTTCCTTTGTTACATAGTTGTGTTTCAGATTTTTTTCACTATTTTGAACAATGGTTCTCTTTCTTTGTTACATAGTTTTCTTTCAGATTTTTTTTCACTATTTTGAACAATGGTTTTCTTCATTTGTTATGTTGTTTCAGATTTTCTCACTATTTTGAACAATGGTTTTCTTCATTTGTTATGTTGTTTCAGATTTTCTCACTATTTTGAACAATGGTTTTCTTCATTTGTTACATTGTTTGTTTCAGATTTTTTTACTATTTTGAACAATGGATCTTCCTTATTACACTGTTAAATCTGGAACTTTTCCCACTATTTTTTGCAGTGACTCTCTCTTCCTTTGTTACATAGTCAAGTCTCAGGTTTTTTTACTGTTTTGAACAATGGATCTCTTTCTTTGTTATACAATCAACTTTCAGATTTTTTCCTATTCATTTGAATGACAGGTTTCTCTCCCTAATACAGCTAAGTCTCAGATTTCTTTACTGATGATTTTATCTTTAATAAGTTAGAGAATGAAGTGTTTGAGACAACAGTAAACATGTCATATTGTAGTTTCCACTGTAGAGATCACAGAATAACAGTAGGCCTGTCATGTGTATTTTTTTTAAATGTTCCTATCTTGTACTTTCTGTTTTTAGCATAAAACTTCCTGTTTTTTTTTATTGTGAGTAACCCCAAATATTTCATTTTAACCACACTTAGATGAGTAAAAATGCTGCTAGCAGGGGTCATTTGTTTTAACTACTCACACCATTATACAGTAGTGTGTTGTCTGTCAGTCAGTAGACACTAAAATGGCATCATGTAAGGGATGTTTAATGTTGCAATTTATATTGTTGAGACATCAGTAAAATGTGTGCATGTTATGAGATACGAGAAGAATTATGCACTCTGTAGGCTACAACACAGCATGAAATGTGAACTTCAAAAGAAAGAAAAAAAAAATTTGTTACCATTAATTTTGGTTTAGTCAACTCTTGAAACAGAACACTGCAGAAGTACATCTAATGTTATATCTTGAATGATCTTAGAATTTCAGTAATCCTTACACCTTACAAACAGATAGATGATGGTGATGTGTGTGTTTCAGTAAGTTTTGATCCCCATGCATTACTCTGAGACTTCGGCAATCTCTAAAGTTTCCAAGATACTTAACTTCTTTTGCGATTGGTAAAAAAACTAAGTATACGTTAAACGTTACAGCTTCGGTATTCGGAGTTTCCTACCCAATGATGAGAAGAGAGAGAGGATGGGGGTCAGCATCAAGTATATATACTTGGTTAGAGATGTCTATAAAACAAAACACATGGCTCCTCTATGACCAACACACTTCATTACAATATACCAAACATCAACTACATTATTTCCAGAAGCATCGTTTCCCAAAAGGTTTTTGGGGGGAAGAGAAGACTAACCTTGCATTGGCTTTCCAGTTCAACTATGGAGTCATTTGCACATACATGTAATAATGTGGCCTGATTAGAAACGTGTTACTGAATCTGTGATTTTGAGCCTCCTTCCAAGCTTGAGGGGTGGTTGCCTCTGTTTACCTGTCCACACACAAATGACACTACAGATTATTTTGACACATTACAACAGCTGACATGTTGTGAAAGCAATACTAAGTGTGAACCTAGACTAGACATTACAACAGCTGGCATGTTGTGAAAGCAATACTAAGTGTGAACCTAGACTAGACATTACAACAGCTGGTATGTGTGCCACAAATACCAAGTGTGAACCTAGACTAGACATTACAACAGCTGACATGCTGTGCCACAAATACGAAATGGGAACCTAGACTAGACATTACAACAGCTGACATGTTGTGAAATCAGTACGAAGTGTGAACCTAGACTAGACATTACAACAGCTGGTATGTTGTGAAAGCAATACAAAGTGTGAACCTAGACTAGACATTACAACAGCTGGCATGGTGTGAAACAAATACCAAGTGTGAACCTAGACTAGACATTACAACAGCTGGCATGGTGTGAACAAATACCAAGTGTGAACCTAGACTAGACATTACAACAGCTGGCATGCTGTGCCACAAATACCAAGTGTGAACCTAGACTAGACATTACAACAGCTGGCATGGTGTGAAACAAATACCCAGTGTGAAAATGTTGTTGAAAATAAAGCAGGTGTAGTGACTTACTGTTTACATCTTATTTTCTTACACTGTAATCTTGATCATATATTACTTTGTTTGGTATTCTATGTCCTAATAGTGTAGAGTCCCATTGTTCTGTAGCGGTTTAGGTACGTTTGAAGATTTGCCAACCGTTATAGAAATTTTAATGCAGTTGCAGCCATGTGTCTAACTATGCAGTGGTGGTTAAAATGTGTTCATGCATTGTTTTCATAGTAATTAGATACATATTGGTTAGACAGTTTAATGTATATAGTTTAAGTACGTGTTCAGTCCACAGATGTATTATATTAATGATTATATTTGTGTGTTGTTAGGTTGTGGTTTACACACGTACTTAGCTTCTTGTTCAGTCTTTCAAACAGCTTAAAATGAGTGTCTGTGTTTTTCAGGTTAGGGTTACCAGATAATTCACATTATGCAAGAGTTAGCTCTTTGATATATAATCTGTAATAAAACCTATATGCATGATATAAAACTTAAAATTGTAACCACCTGTCAAAACAGGTACATTTTGAAACTATTAACGATAATGTACAGCGTTTTCAATTGAATATAGTTATTTTGTCGTAAAATTCCTTTATTTTTATGGAAAATATTGCTCTCGTTGCAGAGACCCGCCAAAATTTTGCGGTCAAATTAGTATCTTTATTGCAACAGTATTTCTTTAAATACAGGATTTCTAGCTATTCTTTCATCAAAGACTTTTAATAATGAAAACTTACCACTCTGGAAAATCCATCTAAAGCTGCCCATGTGCATAAACAGGTTTCGGAACATAAATAGAAGTTTGTCAAAATTTTGGCCTCGACAATATACTGTTGAAACAGTTTTTTTACTTGTATGATGTATGCCTTACTACAAGTCTGCAAGTCTTAGGCTTAACATTAGTTAGGCCTATATTAAGTGCGGCCTATATTCCATAGTTACCACTGTAACTTGTGTACGTTTTTTGCTTTAGTTTAGTTAGGACTAAACTTTACCTTACTTAACGTTATCAGTCAATAAACTTATACTGTTATTCTATTACCTAATGTTCGACCTTTTTAAAAACTTTGATAAGTTCTTAATATGTTGTTGTAAAAATATCTATTGAAGTATATTTACATCCGCCTTTTGTTTACATCCATTGAACTGAAGTGCATGCGCATTTAGCATAGTAATTTGCGCACGCATTTTCAGGACAGACAAAAACTGTATTATCATATTTGATAGATTGGTCTAGTGTATTTTTGGGATGTTGTTACAGAGAAAACGTAGCCTCACCAATGTTTAACGAGGAGCTGTTACTTTCAGATTATTGTTGGAATCCTCCTCATACTGGTTGGCCGCGCAAACATAAACAGTGAAAATGAACAAGTTCGAGCTGACCTGTTCAACAACACCATCATCATATTTATATTCATCATCACTGTCATCAATGTTCTAATATCGGCATTTGGAGTCGGGGACAGCTATTCGGGTGGTGGTCCAGAGTGGACGAATCACGCGGATCCCCGTGTCACAGAGAAATTGACTGAAAGGACAGGAGCAGAAAATGATTTGGTAAGGTTTGCAAGAGCAGCCGGAGTTTATGATAACTGCACGCAAGAACTATAGATTGTTTGAAGGTATAATGTGTTCCGGGAAGTTGTTTTTTTTAATGCAGTCTTTTGGAAGAAATAAAGGTGTGTAATGTGATAAGTATAAAAATAGAGGCAGCTGTTTTATCAAAAATTCGTCTGAAAGATATACCAAAAAAGTCCTTTTTGTATATAGAAAAAATTATACGCTTCTAGTTGCAGTGGCAGGCTTAGCTTGAGTTTCTCAAGCTCTCCCAGATAATGAGCTGATTTAAAACTTTAAAACAAAATCAATTCCAACAAATTATATCTTAGACTGTCAACTACTTAAGGAAATAAAGGTAACTATGTAAATATTCATTTAGTTTCTGGTATTGAAATCACTGTAACACTGATATATAATGCGAAATGTGGTTTCTGTCCGAGCGTTCGTCTATCTCCCGTTTGAAAAGCTGCACACGCAGGCAAAGTTCAACATTTACTTTTGAAATGACGGGAGAACAGGCATGAATAATGTTAATGCCAAATTTTATTTCGCAAGCAGGATATTCTACACCAACTTGTTAGTAATTAATCACGCTACCATTCACATTTCAAAATGTGACGTAACTTAAATAATAAAAGTGTAAATATACCGTATGTTATTGTTGAGTGGCTCTTAGCGTGACTGAAATACTCAACAATTACTTTCCACAGTGGGCGGTATAAGTAGCTCAGAACTTTGTCTCTGAGTAAAATCAAGAGTGTATAAAACAATTAACTTTTTAAAGTCCATGAAATAATTTAAATTGATAGATTAACTTTTCTCGTCACTGGGGACGGGTACTTTTGCTTGTATCAATCAAATAAGGCTCACTCTGATTGCTTTAGAATAGTTAAACTGTCCAATCCGAACCTCTGTATCTCTTTAGAAAATTCAGTAGGGATGGTGAGGGGGCTGAGGTGATGTTCGACAAAAACTTGAGGGGTCTGCACTGTACAAATTGTTGGCACACATAATGTTATATTTAGGAAGTGAACCAGCTTTAACAATAAACATTTTTTGTTGGGGGCTACAGGGAAGGCTAAGGCACATTTTAGGGTTGCTTCATTCGTTGTTTTGAAGTAAAGACGTTCTACAGGAGTAATGAAAAAAAAATCTTGACGTTTTTTTTCAAAAACAAGGGTTTGTTGGATTATAGTTTGTTTCTTATACAAATTGACTCCTGTGGTTAAAGCTTTATTGAATTTTATGAAGAGTTATCTTTGCATTGAAGAACTACTTGGGTGTGGGCTAAGAGCGTGAAGTTAGGTCCCATCATTTGAGAATGTAAGCCTTCACTTCAAATCTTTATAAACCCTTCCATCCTGGCCGAAACGCTGGATCTTGCCACTGAGTTGTACGCGTCTTGAATAACTGGATTGATCCCATGTACCTTGTAAGGTCTTTATGATTGGCTGACCTGTTTCTAAAAAGTATAAAATACTAACTCCACCAGTGAGACGTGATGCACCGCACGTTTTATTTTGTGACTTTTCTAATTAATTGTATTCAAGTCTTGCCCACGTTAGTCACGTGCATGTTCCCAATTTGTCTTGGAGCCATACTTTTAAAAATACACGAACTACTGTAATTATATAATAGGTAAGATATACATAATACTGTAAAGTATCAAAACTGGGTTTAAGTTTTATATCTCTAAGTTTGATCTAAAACTTTAACACAACATTAAAAGCCTGTTTTAGAAGAACCGAAACATTAAACGTACAGACAGTTGCCTAATACAACAGGCGAAAAGCCCCAACAACTTAGGTTACCACGTCACTGTATCACAACTCCTGTTGTTGTGTATGAATAAGTATTTAGAAAATAATCACGTCCAGTGTGTTGGTGTTGCAACGGGAGCTACCTTACTTTATGGGTATTCCCGCAACCCGGTTCTATGTCACGATGTAATCATAGATGGCGCTTGATGCCGATTTTATACCCAGCAGGATAAGTAATTTTTTTGTATTATTTATAACTCCATAACGTGTATTGCGTATTTATGTGCACTGTTATAATATTTTTTAAACTGTATTCGAATATTTATACTTTACATTCGTTACACCAATGCCAAGAAAATAGTTGTTAAACTTAGCGTCACAAGCATCTAACGTCGATTTCTAGTTCTATCTAGTTTTTAGTTCGTTAATCACACACCAGAGCTACTTTGAATAGCTGTTTGTTTTAGAAAATCAAGTATATTGCCGTTTTTATCTATTAGAAATCCGCTTTATATTTAATATTTGTGTCGTGTGTATTGTTTAGCATGTAAACCACTTTTCAAGTAATAAAAAATATTGAAATAAAATGTTTTATGATGCGTAAAATGTGCTTGTTTTTTGTGTTTGAAACTCTTGCAACCCTGGCAACGAGAATAAATAAATCGAGCAGACGAGCTTTTCTTCAGTATGGCACTATATTTTCCAAACACTTTCGTTTATCAAAGATTTATATATATCATAAGTTTATATAAATGCTGTGTCCATCTCTGGACCGTATTTAGGTTTCTTATTTTGCACCATATGCTTTAGCAAAACTATAGAAAAGTAGGATAAAAGGGGCTTTCAATCCTTACTAACGAAATTTGAATCTCGCGAGTTCAAGAGTTTTTACAGGAACTAGAGCTCCCTCCCCGCCCCCCGCAAGTCCGAGAGCTCGTAACATTAAATATCGGATTTCGATACCGTGTTCAGCAGAGCACAGATAGTTCATTGTGTAGCTTTGCGCTTAGCAACAAGAACAAAAGGAATCCTAGCGGTTAAAGTCCACACTATTGGTTATTCATAGAAAGTCTACAAATAGTTTGAACTTTAATGGAAATAACAAGATATTTTAAGGCCCGATCGTTACAGATGCTTGGTTTTCGCAATACAAGTCAAAATTGAATGAATAAATAAATAAATTAGTAGGCCCATAACAACAGATGAATGTAAACAAGTGGAAAATTCATAAATACAAACAATAGAAATATTTGGATCAACGTTGTAGTGTTCAGCTAATTACGTGTTTAATGAGTCGGGGATACAACATTCGTTGTGACAACACTATGGAATAAGGATGTCCGTCCGTTCTCTCGGAAGAGTTACATTACCACATCCAATCCTAAGGCCCGGCATGACCAGGTGGTTAAGGCACTCGACTCGCAATCCGAGGGTCGCGGGTTCGAATCCCTGTGACACCAAACATGCTCGCCCTTTCAGCCGTGGGGGCGTTATAATGTGACGGTCAATCCCACTATTTGTTGGTAAAAGAGTAGCCCAAGAGTTGGCGGTGGGTGGTGATGACTAGCTGCCTTCCCTCTAGTCTTACACTGCTAAATTAGGGACGGCTAGCGCAGATAGCCCTCGTGTAGCTTTGCGCGAAATTCAAAAACAAACAATCCAATCCTGATGCGTAAATATACAGGTTCCCCACCTAACACTATACATGCGTTTAAGTAAATAACGTCGGAGAAATTATGATAAACTCTATTCATGAGAAATTGAAACATTTTAGGTCATATCCTGGTTTGTTTGTTTTTTGTTATAAGATTTCACAAATTTAACCAAATAATCAATTTAACATTTTTAACTGAACAAGAAAAAAAAAATCTTTGAGCTATCGGACCTTCACACTTTTAATCTGAGAGTCCCTGGTTCGAATTATATTGCCACAAAAACACACTCCGTACTTGATATTTAGAATCTTCCTTCCCTCTATAGTAGCCCCCCCCCCCTCCAGTGGATATTTAGAATCTTCCTTTCCTCATTCATAGTATATTTCGAAAGGTCCCCCTGTAGCACAGCGGCATGTCTGCGCACTTACAACGCTAGAATCTGGGTTTCAATACCCGTGGTTGGCAGAGCACAGATAGCCCATTGTTTAGCTTTGGGCTTAGCTACAAACAAACAATCCCTCTATAGGCTGTCAGTTCAAAACTAGGGACGGCTAACGTAGATAGAATTGTATGATTATCAGGAACAGTTTTATATTATAGTGCACGCGCTTTATTTGGTTTGTATTCCTTAAAAAATGCACGAGATGTTAGAAGAAAGAATTATTACAAATGTCTCGTTTAAAACGGTCACAGTGAAACTAGCTCATTTCTACTGTCACACAAGCAAAGTCTACAGAATGAATGTATTTCTTGATAGAGATTAATTATTCCTTTAAAGAACTACAGGAACCCCGATGAGCTCAAGTTGATTCTATTCAACAACAACCAGTTGGATGCTGGTCCATGTGAACCATTACACGTTTGTTGTAACTGTATGATGCCAATGACAACAACAACCAGTTGGATGCTGGTCCATGTGAACCATTACACGTTTGTTGTAACTGTATGATGCCAATGACAACAACAACAACCAGTTGGATGCTGGTCCATGTGAACCATTACACGTTTGTTGTAACTGCATGATGCCAATGACAACAACAACAACCAGTTGGATGCTTGTCCATGTGAACCATTACACGTTTGTTGTAACTGTATGATGCCAATGACAACAACAACAACCAGTTGGATGCTGGTCCATGTGAACCATTTCACGTTTGTTGTAGTTGTATGATGCCAATGGGGGGAGGGGCGATCTAATTCAAATAATTTAAGCCCAACGTAAGGATCAACACGAGACTTCCGATATATATTAAACACTCAGTAGATAATACTATAGATTATATACCACCGTATATCATACGAACCTGTAATATACAAGAAATGTACTACACGAATAACCAGTCAACCATGAAAGAACCGTCCCTAGAAGGTTTATAAAGAGATACGGGAAGAGCAAAACCCTCCAAGCCTCGGGGAGGGCAGAATATAGGGGAATAATATTGCTCTAACTAAGAAAAACATTAACCTCCTTGCACAAGTCAATGGCATCCTTCCGTAAAAACTGTGGAACCACCTCGTATAATAAATCCTGGAACTTGTACAATCCCAGCATCTAGAAACTCCTTAAAATAAAGCAAACGTCCTCAATCATCTGTCAATAATGGATTATGAAACAAAGACTGTTTAAAAAATCTCCAGCGAATCAGATTTAAGATTCAGGACACACCAACCAGTACAAACTTCCTGGATGTAATGAACGCAAAAAAATCGAGGAACAATTCGACACCGCAACAGCTCAAACCAACCCCCCCCCCAGAAAAAAAAGTGACTCACGTACGTACCGAGAAAATAGTCTATTAATGAACCCAAGACGTCATGACAATCCTGATTAACACATTACTGCAATAATTTCAAACGAAAAACATACCTACGTAAACCACTTAAAATAAATAAACCCCCTCCGACCAATGTCGAATTAAGATTTCATATCAAAATTCATGAACACCCCCCCCCCCTCATCTCCTATCCACGGAAACTGTCACACAAACTATTCGACAAAGACAACGCTTGAACTGGATACCAAATCAAAGGCGTTACAAAAGAATTGAAGGATTTATCCCGAAGAGACAACGCGTGATTTTAGCATCTACGACAGACAAAGTAGAATAAACCCTAACCTGAAAACTTCCATGAAAAACTGTACCGAAGATACGGAAACTATCATTACCTACCCAAAAACTCTCATAAAAACCATCAGCCTTCCCACCTCAGTTACCTATCCCACTGCTCTTTTTATACTTAACCTGACCACCAGGGGTCTTAAATCGTTGGTTATAATTCGAATATCACACCCTTATAAACGATTATTAAGAATGGCTGGCTGATTATATAGTGTATTTTGCGCATGCTCTTTAATTCTTGAGCACAAACGACGAACCATAGCCAAGGCTAAGGGGGATAATCTGTGAAAATATGTCACGAATCCCAGCAGAAGTTTTCTTTATTTTACACTCTTCACTCCGATGTAAATATATATATATATATAATATGTCACGAATCCCAGAAGAAGTTTTCTTTATTTTACACTCTTCACTCTGATGTAAATATATATATATATATAATATGTCACGAATCCCAGAAGAAGTTTTCTTTATTTTACACTCTTCACTCTGATGTAAATATATATATATATATAATATGTCACGAATCCCAGTAGAAGTTTTCTTTATTTTACACTCTTCACTCCGATGTAAACATATATATATATATAATATGTCACGAATCCCAGTAGA